AGGTGGCTCAGTGGTAGAGTGCTTGCCTTGCATGCATGAAGCCCTGGGTTCGATTCCTCAGCACCACATAAGCAGAAAAAGCCAGAAGTGGTGCTGTAGCTCAAGTGGTCGAGTGCTAGCCTTGAGCTGAAGAGCTGAGGGACAGCACCCAGGCCCCGAATTCAAACCCCAGGACTGGCAATAAATAAATAAGAAAGAAAGAAATAGGAGGGGCTGGGAAGGTGGCTCAGTGGTAGAGTGCTTGCCTTGCAAGCAGGAGGCCCTGGGTTCGATTCCTTAGCACCACACAAAACAGAAAAAGCCAGAAGTGGTGCTGTGGCTCAAGTGGTAGAGTGCTCACCTTGAGCTGAAGAGCTGAGGGATAGCGCCCAGGCCCAGAGTTCAAGCCCTATGACCACCACCAACAAAACAAAAGAAGGAAAGAAAGAAAAGAAAAAGAAATAGGAGCCATCTGCTGTGGAGGGCAGAGGGTGGTGAGTGGAAGATGGCCCCTCAGCCCTCCAGCAGGGTGAGGGAGCAGAAATAGACCCGATGACCCTCATCCCCCACACAGTTGACCCCAACAAGGAGCGATGCGAGGCAGTCAAGCTGAAAATCACCAAGTACCTGCGGCGGGCTGAGGAGATTTTCAACTGCCACCTGCAGCGGACACTGGGCAGCGGAGCCAGCCCAGACTCGGTGAGGATGCCCCTTTGCCCCATGCGCATCTGGCCGCAGGACAGGAGAGGTAGTGGAAGATGTGAGTCTGAAGTGTGTGCCAGGGCTTCCCTCCTGTCCTCTGTTCCCCCATTCTCCCATACCCTCCTGGTTCATTCATTCTCAGGTCCTGAGAATCATGCCCTGGCCAGCTTCGTGCCGTCCCAGAGCACTTGGCGCATGTGTACATGTACAGCCCACAGCTCCATATGGCTTGCATGTGTGCATACACGCAAAGCCTCCAGATTGTGTTTTTGTTGGGAGTGGATACACTGTGAGTATTTGAAAGACACATATACCCATGAGTGAATGCATATGTGTGCCCAGAACTCTCCCCATGAAGCCAGATGCTTGTGGCTCACATCTGTAATCCTAGCTACTCATGAGGCAGAGATCTGTGGTTCAAGGCCAGCCTGGGCAGGAACGTCTATGAGACTCTTAGATCCAATTAACTACCAGAAAATTGGAAGTGATGCTGTGGCTCAAAGTAGTAGAGCACTAGCTTTGAGCAAAAGAGCTCAGAGATCGAGCCCAGGCCCTGAATTCAAGCCCCATGACCTATTACAAAAACAACAATAAAACTCTCCCCATGTGGTTTTTCCTGACCAGTGGGCACTTGATGGGGATTGAAGATGCGTACACAGATGTCATGCCCATAGGTTTGCCCAAGCATACACAACGTATCCTCCTTGGCTTACTGTGTGCATAGGCTCTTTCCTCAAAGCAGGTGGCTGGTGTATACTCTGAGACCCGCAGGCTCTCCAGTTAGTCCCCTCCCCATCCAGGCAGTTATCTGTTTCCTGTAGACTAGGCTTTTGGGAAGGGACTTCTGGATCTTGGAGGGATGGGTAGAGGTCAGCCTGGCTACCCTGAACAATATGAGCCCCAGGATTCAAGATCAGGAGCCCCTGCCCAGGGCTCAGGGAGGCCGCTGTGGCTGAGGCTACCTGTGGCCTGGCTTTCTCCTCTGCAGGGCTTCAGCAGCCTGAGGCTTCGGCCCATCCGCACGCTGAGTTCTGCTCTGGAGCAGCTGAGGGGCTGCAGGGTGGTCGGGGTCATCGAGAAGGTGAGTGAGTGGATATCCAAGGCACGGGAGGGAGGCGAGGGGAGGCTCGTGGTGTAGGATCAGCAGTGGTGGGCTAGGACAGGGGTGTGGTATGAGGAAGGGGATTTGTAGCAGCTGTCTGCATGCCTCCAGGGGTTAATGGGCCAGGATGGCCGTGGAGTCCAGCAGCCCCTTCTTTCCCTCACCCCAACACACACCATTTTGGTTGTGAAAAGAAAAACAAGGGGAATGAGAAGAGGCAGGCAGCTCCCTCTCTACAGCCTCAGGCTCAGACACAGAAAACCCGCAGAAACCACAGGAGAAGCTGTACCCAGGGCACCCTGCCAGCCCTCACTGCCCTGCCCACTCCCACTTCCCACAAGCCTCCGCCCCGCATTCACTCTGCAGCCCAGAATTGCTCCTGAGCACTTCTTCCTGGGGCTAGGAGGTGATCAGCTCCAGAGACCTGCCTGGCAGAGGGCCCAGGCTGGCCTGTGTTTCAGGGGCCTCTGCCCTTTCTCTCCATGTCCACACACACTCATCCTGACTCCATTTTGTGCCTTTTCCCTTAATTCAGAGCAGACAGGAAGATAGGTGATAGCCCAGCCCTTATTAAAGTGAGGGGTCCGAGGGACAAACAGGTCAAATGACTGTTGAGCCAGTATTCAGAGTCTCCTCTGCCCCCACCCCAAGGCCCCCAGAGTAGTCGCTAAAAGTTCTTTCCCAAACTGGCCATTTATGAAAATCATCTGGGGAGCTTCCTCAAAATACAGATATTTGGGCTCCACCCTAGACCTGTGGAATCAGAATTTTTAGAGTTGAACTCAGGAGTTTATCATTTAAAACACTTGGATGATTTTTGATGGATCGGGGTGGGGGGGGGTGGGGGAGAATCATGAAGAGACACTAGCATATGCTCCCACCCCCTCACCCCCATGCAAGTGGGTGGCATCCTGTCTGGAGGGGCTGGCCCAGTGGCTGGCCATTCATCAGGTAGCCATGGGCAAGTCCCCTCACTATGCTGAGCTTTGATTTCCTTATTGGTAAAGTGAAGTGGGAATTCTCCCTCCAAAGGGGTGATCTGGGAAGAAAACAGAAATGATTTTGGGAAAGGCCTGGCACATACTGAGACATTTAATGCATGTTTGATGGTTCTCAGTGAGAGCCACAAGAATGAGTGAGCAAGCACAAGCCCCCATCTCCAGGCCTTGCTCCAGCTGCTTCTCCTGGCACTCTGGACCAGGCCCCAGACTGTGAGCAGAGGCCCAGCCTGCCTCCATCTGCCTCAGTCCCCCTCCCCCTCAGTGGCCACATCCTGACCTTGGTCAAGCATAGCCACTCCCAAGGATAGGGCTGTCAGGAGTGACTGACACCATCCTTCTGAATGATACCCTGCAGAAGCACAGGTGTTAATGGTGAGCAAAGTTCCTAGTTGGACGTGTTTGGGAAGTAGTGAATGAACGTTCTATTACTTTACGTTTTTGTTCTAGGAGTTCTCAGAGTCCTTAGGCTGCAAATCTATACTGAGATTCTCTAAGCGGGAGATCTGTGACACAGAACTTCCTGGTTTGTTTGACACCAGAACATGCATATATTTGCAAAGTGCCTTAGATTGCTTTTATAGCTTCATTTTGGTGGTCGTGGGGTTTGTGCTTGTGAGGCTGGCAGTTTACTGCTAAGCCGCGCTCCCTCCCTGAGCAAAGCTTTTTAGACATGTTGTACTCTGAGGGCTACCTACTGGGAAAGTACAAATTAAGGCTAAACCTGCGCTGCCCTCATTTCCCTTTCCACCTTTTTTGGGGTACCCAATTGATTGACTCTAGCTCCCTCCTGAGATCCCTTTCTCTGGGTCATGCCCAAGCCAGGAACAACACTTTCCCCAAATTAGGAAAAGTGTTAGGACCACTGGGCCCATTCCACCACGGCTCTGCCCAGGCAGATCCAGGTAGCGAGGCAGTGCTGGCCAGCCCTGAGCCCAGGAGCTGGGCATGCAAGGCTTGTTCAGCTCTGTCCTGGCATGCCCAGGACGTAAGCAACTGTTGGGAGTCACTGGAGCAGGCAGGGGGTCTCCAGGAGCTGTAGAGATGCTGGCAGAGTAAGTCCCTAAACCAGAGAGTAGGTAGACAAGCAAGATACCTGAGGGTCTGTCCTCAGGGAGCCTGGGGACAGGACAATGTCCCTCCATTTGTGTTGAACCTTTGGGAGCCATGGCCTGAGTTGGGCATGGGGAAGAAAAGGGCATCTGAGTTCCTTATTTTACTTGGCTCAAACACAGGGTGGTTTTTTGTTTGTTTGCTTTTGAATTGTTACCAACATTCTCAAACGTGAAGATTTCATATAAAAAATACAGATTTCCATATCTCCTGAACAACCAGAAGATCTGGACATGTGGAGTTCACATTCTCCCCTGGCAGCAGGGAGCCCAGGAGGGGGGCTGCTCAGCCCTTCCCTCCCTCCACCCCTACTACGCTCACATGTTTGGTCCCTGTGAGCCTTTGTGTTGGAAGGTTTTGGACTTGTTGCTCCATGAAAAAGTCCTCCTAAGACTTAAGATTCTTTGTGTATCCTTAAAGAAAAGAAAGACATTGTTGTTTTTTCACCAAAGCTTTATTCCAGTGTCTCAAGGATTCAATTGGTTTAAAAATAAGAAGACACCTTTCTTTAAAGATTGGAGCAGTACTCATAATTGCCATCCATCTTCCCTGTCATAAGGCCCACCTCACATTTGTGAGGTACATTCCCAAAAGCCTATGGCCTTGCAGTAACCCTAGAATGAAAAGTATTATGAGGCAGGGCCAGATGCCATAGTACCTGCCTATAATCTCAGCTACTCAGAAGCAGAGATAGAAGGATCATTTTTCTTCGAGAAGCCAGAACAGGCGACACAACAACAACAAATAAAAGTTACCAAAACTATCTTAAGCAACAGATGGGCCAGGCACTGGTAATTGACACTAGTAATCCTAGCTACTTAGGAGGCTGAGATCTGGAAGATCACGGTTCTCAGCCAGACAGAAAAAAATCCTAAAGAACCCATCTCCAAAATAACCAGCAGAAAGCCAGTCTAGAAGTGTGGCTCGAGTAGTAGAGTGCTAGCTAAGGAAGCAAGCCAACTAATCATGAGGCCCTGAGATCAATCTCTGAGCGTGGTGATGTACACCTCTAATCCCTGCTAACCAGGAGATGAGAGTCCAAGGCTCATAGACAGGCATGAAAGCTCTGAACAACAACAACAAAAGCTAAAAACAAAAACAAAAATCAACCACAAATCCATCAGACTGTTCAGGACAGTAGTCACCAGTCACATAAGACTATTTGCATGAATTAAAGTCAAGATTCTGAGTCTTCAGTGTTCTAGCTCCATTTCATGGGCTCCAACACTACATGAAGCTACTGGCTTCTCCACCAGACAATGTGGAAATGAAGGATTTCATCATGGCGGAAAGTTCAGTTGGACAGTGTTGCATTATGATACTAATTGTCTTCCGGAGAATGAAACTGGGATTCATGGAAGGCAAGCAGTAGGTGGTCTCTGTTTCCCACGCCACTAGGCAAAAGAAAGAGATTTTTTTTTCTTGTTTGGTTTCATTAATGGGAAAATGCTCCCTTGAATATACTTTTGAGATATAATGAAAGAGAAAGGAGTTTGAATCTGGAAAAAAACAACTCTCAGCACCCTCATGAACTCCAAGGTAATCAGTTAATGTTTAAATCTAGTTTCTTCTAGACAACTAGGTTTAAATGTGTGTTTTTTCAAACACAATTGTTATTATGTATGGGACAAATTGTATTTCTGGCTCTCTCATAATTTTGGACTGTAAGTCAGAGGGCCTTGCCCAGCACAAGGTGGCGGGGAATCCCACTTGGCGAAGCCTGGGGGGAATTATGGGAGGTGTCAGGGCCTGTGGGAAACTCTGTTCTCCTAAATGACTTTAGAATTCTCTGCCTTTCTTTTTCAAACATTGCCTAAGTTTGGTCAGAAAGCCAAGGCCAGGCTGGCTTCTATCTCTAGCTGTTGGAGGGGAGACCTCTAGTGGTCAAAAGGGCCAGCTCCCAAGTGCTGCAGCCAGGGCCTAGGCCTTTCCCAGTCCCCATTTTACTGATAGGAAAACTGAGGCTCAGAAGGGAAAGCACTTGATTGTGTGTCCAGTTAAGCCTGCAAGCTCTGGGGCTGAACCTGTCTGGATTCAAATCCTGACTCTACCACTTTGCAGTAGTGAGACCATGGAAAGGCAATATCGCCTCTCTGAATCTCAGTTTCTTCATCAATAGAATGGATCACTAGTAATTCTTACCAGTAGAGTTGTGGGAATAAAATCAAATAACCTCTGCAACTACTTAGCACAGAGTAAGCACTTGGTATCCTATGTTGTTTTTTTTCTATAGCATATTGACCATTGCTGAGGATCGTGAAGGGTTTGTGCTTAGATTGTCTGCTTTAATCAACATCCCTATCCCACTCCCAAGAACCCACTTTGCAGGTTAGAAGAACAAAGTTTAGAGAAGTCATGTGACTTCATACAGAGGCTGTTTATGGCCACAATGAACAGTGACAAACAGAAGTGGGCATTTGTGATTCCTGTTTGGTTGTAGGAAAAGAAAAATAAAATCAGTTCATTTGCCCAGGGCTCTAAACCCAGGGTCCTTTTCCCTACACCATCTGAGGCTGCGGATCTCACCCCGCCCAGTGTCCTGGCCTCAGGGCCTGCCTCCCACTCCCCTCTCTGGCCAGCCCAGGCCCTCCCTGGGGAATGTCCTGCCAGGCAGGCCAGTGGCCAAGGAAGGGGCATACTGGGGTGCTGTCTGGCTTCTTCATGTCCTCATCCACGCAAAATCGTCTGCCTTCCTCATCTGATACACCCTTGCCCCTCATAGAGCTGGGTCCACCCCTGCCTACAGAGGAAAGGTGGTGGGCAGACTGCAAGAAGCCCTGCGGAGGACAGGCTCCACATAGGACTTGATTATTTTATTGAGACAAATCCTTGCGCATGCTGGCCTTGAATTCCTGGCTCAAGCAATACCTCTTTCCCCCGAGTAGCTGGTAGGCACAACCATGCCTGGCTTAAGAGAAGACTTTATTTCAAAGAAGGGGAAACAGGAAGGCCTGGAGAGACACCTGAAAAACATGCCAAGCCAGGACCACTCAGATCACACTGAAACTACACTCTCAGAACCCTTGAAGAATAAGGAACAGAGGAGGTGCTATCTTCAGTCCCCGAGGACAGTGGGATCTTAATCTTCCCTTCCCCTCAGGGAGAGGAGAGGCATTTTTTTCTTCTTTTCTTTCTTTTTTTTTTTTTTTGTCATTGTGGGACTTGAACTCTGGGCCTGTGCATTGTCCCTCAGCTCTTCAGCTCCAGGCAAGCACTCTACCACTTGAGCCACAGCGTTACTTCAGGTTCTCTGCTGATTAATTGGAGAGAAGAGTCTCAAGGTCTTTCCTGCTTGGGCTGGCTTTTAATCATGATACTCAGATCTCAGCCTCGTGAGTAGTTAGGATTACAGGCGTGAGCCACCGGTGCCCGGCATGGAGAGGCATTCTTACATGGGATCCTCCTGGCTCCATGCAACCTGAGTATGTGGAGGACTCATGCAGGACTGTGGGAATACAGAGCTGGACAAGGTCTTGCCCTTGTAGTGCTTACAACCGGGGGTGGGGGTGGGGGAGGTTAGGCAATGAGGCTACCAAAGGTGAGCGAGAGAGCACAAGAGATGGCAGCAGGCCCTGGATACTGCATGGAGGGACCCCGGAGCTGTGGGTGAGCAGGCTGGGATGGGTGTTGGCTCCGGGGGGAAGAGGGGTGTACTCCCTGCCCTGTCTCTGGGTGAGTTGACTTGGTGAAGGAATCGGGGGGCTTGGGCATGGCTCCTGGAAACTAGCGTGTGGCTTCTGGACTTTGACAGGTGCAGCTGGTCCGGGACCCAGCCACTGGAGGGACCTTCGTAGTGAAGGCACGTGCTTCCCAGCCTCTGCTGTACAGTATAGTACAGTCCAGTCCTCCCCTTGGGATCCCCCTCAAAGCTCTGGAACATTCTCCCAGAATGTGCATGTGGAATTCATGTCCCCTCCAAATCCGAAAGCTGCTCATTCTATTCTGAGCATGGGCTCTGCCTCCTAGATAGTCCCCCCCAACACACACACACACACACCCCTCATACTCACACACACACTCATACTTGCGCACACACACAAACATCATCTTTGGCCAGAAGGGTGGAGGAGCTTGAGAGAAAAGAGGGGAGGACCAGGTCAGGAATTGGGGGAAACAGCTGCTCCTCAGAATAGCTCCCACTTCTTATCTGAGTGCTCCCCAATGCCAGGGCTGCAGGACTGTCCCCTAGCAGCCGCTGCTTCTGGCCTTGTCCTCAGCTGATCTTCCTCCCTGACTGCTCCCCAGAGCTTGCCCAGGTGCCATATGGTAAGCCGGGAGCGGCTCACCATCATCCCACACGGAGTCCCCTACATGACGAAGCTGCTGCGGTACTTTGTGAGCGAGGACTCCATCTTCCTGCACCTGGAGCACGTACAAGGTGAGGGGCCCTGGCAACAGCTCTGGCATTTGGGGTTTTATAGTTGCCTTCCTTCTTAAAACAGTGGGCCCCCGGGAGGAGTGTGGCTTTCTCCTGATGTGGGGCACAGCTGTGGAAGCTCGTTGCTGGGGGCAGGGGCAAGCCATTGTGGGCCTCCATGTGATGCCAGAGGAGCGGGAGATATTCTGGAGAGGAGGGCCATGCCACAGGCAGGGGAGAGGGGTTGTTTGCGGCTCTCTCCTTCCCCACAGTGTCCTCTGGTCTCCGCCCATTTCACTTTTCTGGTAGGTGGCCCCCCCTAGGATGACTGAAGCTGTATGGACTAGAATTGGGTCACGTGGTAGATATTCACTCATGATCATAGTAATTTCCAGAATATCCCTGGACCATGATGTGGAGTCATAGGAGATGTGGCCTTTGCATTTCATTAGATCATTTTCTCTAAAACAAAATTGAAATTATTCAGTGAATCCACCACTCCAACCAAAGCTACTGATAATGAATACAGGGCGTAGGGCAGGGCTCAGCAATATGGCGCCTGCCTAGCAAGTGCAAGGCCCTGAGTTCAAACTCCAGTAGCACAAACATAAAAATAAACACCAAACCCAAGAAATACATTTAGGGTGTACAGTCCCTAAAACAGCTCTCTGAGGGCAGGCAGGTTAATAAGAAGAGGGGGAGAGGGAGGGGTAAAGAAGCCACACAGAGGGGTCGTGCCCCAGATGGAGGAAAGGGGAAATGGGCCTCGTCCTGGTGTCCACGCTCCTTTTCCTCTCTTCCCTCTGCCCCACCCAGGAGGCACTCTGTGGTCCCACCTGCTCTCCCAGGCGCCACCCCAACATTCTGGCCTCAGATCTGGCTCTACTCAGGAGAAGTCAAAGCTGGACAGTCGCCGCAGCCTCCTGACCTCAGCACGGCTCTCCCCAGGCTACACTGTGAGGCAAGACAGGATCCTTCTGGAACCTTCTCGGACTTCTCAGAGGCTTCCTCCAGCCAGGGAGCTCCCACCCCTCAGACCCTTCAGAGAGGCTGACAATGAGTCCATGGCCAGGACCGGCACTTCCTGCTCCTCCCGTCCCACAAGGGCACCGGGTGGCCACTGGTACCTTCAAGCCAGGAGGACTGGCCAGAGCTCAGACCCTGGGCCCCCTCGCGGACTCCTTTGGGTTCGTGAAGGGGCCAGCCGGGTATTGGGGGGCTGTGGCCGAGGCCGAGGTCACAGTCCCCCTTCGGTGGACAGAGCCTGCTGGGCGGGTGGTGAGGCTGTGTGGTATGTGAAGGAGGAGCGGGTGAAGCAGTGGGCAGCCGAGATGCTGGTGGCACTGGAGGCACTTCATGAACAAGGGGTGCTGTGCCGGGACCTCAATCCTCGGAACCTGCTCCTGGACCAGGCAGGTAGGAACCCAGGCCATTCTACCCCTACCCCACAGGAGGGAGTCCCCCCCCCCCAGTCAAGGGGACCTTAGAGGTTATGTGCCACTTTCCTCACCTGCACCCAGTTCACAGGATTCTGCCTGAGCCTGGGCGGCCCTTCCCCTGAGGCTAGAGTAGCTCCCAGAACACCCTGGGAGCCCCTGGGGCCATGATCTGCCCAGCATGGCCTTTGGCTCCTGCTGAGTGCCTGTTGGGGAAGCCCTGGGACTGAATTCTCCATGCCAGCTACTCTGCAATGCCACCCTCAGCCTTTGTCCCTCACCCTTTCTCCTTACACACACTGGATGAGAAGGTCACATCCGGCTCACATATTTTGGCCAGTGGTCGGAAGTGGAGCCCCAGTGCAGCAGGGAGGCCGTGGACCACCTGTACAGCGCCCCAGGCAAGAACGGAGCGGGTGGAGGGTGGCCCTTGATATTGGATAGCTCTGTGTGGGTTGAGTCTGGGGACTGAGGGCGACATGAATGGGCAGGGTCTGCTAGCATGGAAATGGACAGTCCTGGGTGAGGGAAAGATGTCTGTTTTCTTGCTCCTGCAGAAGTTGGGGGGATTTCTGAGCTGAGTGAAGCTTGTGACTGGTGGAGTTTCGGGTCACTACTCTATGAGCTGCTGACAGGAACCGTGAGTAGCTGCACAGGGCAGAACACTTTACTGGGTGCCACTGAATGCTGGGTAAGCAGGATTCAGTCTTATTAGCCAGAATCTCGAGAGAGCTGCCTGGTTCTCCAAGATCTGGCCAATTGGCCTGGATGTCCTGCCACACTACAGGCCACTGGAGACACAGGAAGTCACTTTAATGAAGCCACAGGCACATAAGAGTATTCCAAACACATTATCTCAACTTTTGTGAGAGTTGAGTTGGGATGGTCAGGAAAGTTTCTGGAAGAGTGTGTCTAGGACTTGGGTTTAAAGAGAAGATAGCATAGACACAGCCCTCCTTCCCTGGATCATCCCCTGAATCCCCCGCCCCTACTTCCTTGACCCTCCCCGCCCCCTTACTCCTCCTGCCCATTTGGCTGGAGGATTGGATAGTCTTTCATCCAGGTCAGCAGCTGCCCTGTCCCTGTCCAGTCTGGGTCAGCCAAGAACTCAAGGTCCTCCCTATAAACTATGTTGCTCAAAATGATGCCTGGCCTTTAACCTCTGCCCAGATGAGCTCAGCACTACATCTGGGGCCAATTGGGTTGGGAAGTAAAGAAGAGGCCAAACTGCATTTGAGTAGAAAACAGCTGGAATGGACTCCTTATGACCTCAAGTCCACAGCTGTCTCATCCCTCCTGGCTTTCTCCTACTTTTGTCCCAAACCCAGGCCTCTGAGAACCCTATCTGCAAATACCGACCTTCCCTCCTCCCACCACAGCTCTCCTACCTTTCTCCTGGATGCTTTCCTTACCTCCAGACTGTCTGCTCTCCCAGGTTGCATATACCTTTGGGCACAGAGAGGACCTGCTTTCTTCTGTCACCACATCCCTGCCTTGGCCTTGATAGCAGCCTGCCGTGGCCTGCTGTCAAATGAGTAGCTTGTGAGGGCTTTTTTTTTTTTTTTTCCTAAGCAGACAAGTTCCAGTGCTGTTCCAGATAGCATTCCCACCCAGATTACAACCCAAGATTGTTTCTAGCATCAATTCCAGGACCCCAGAGGGACCCAGGTTCAAATCCTGACCTCAGCACAAGGCCCCTTTCCTCTGAACCTGCTTTCTTGTCTTTAATGGATATAGGTATTTCAGGGACATAGCTCAGTGTCTGGCACACAATAAATCATAAGGCAGCAATCAACATCACGAATCACCAACCCCATGGAATGTGACACTGGGGCAGGTGGCTGGGCGGGGGTGGGGGGTGGGGGTGGGAAGAGGGAACCTGGGGAGCCACTGGAAGACTTCCCTGGGATCCTCTCTTCAGAGATCCATCTTTGTGTCCCACCCCCACCCCCAACCCTCACCAGGCACTGTTCCAGATCCACCCCTCAGGATTCCAGGCACACACCCAGCTCCAACTACCTGATTGGCTCAGTCGCCCAGCAGCCTCCCTGCTGACTGAGGTAAGGTACAGCCTGGCCTAGAGGAGCTGGCTTCTTGGCCTGTGGGTAAGGAAGGAGGGATAGAAGCCCCACAATTGTGTGTGTGCTGTATCTGTTCATGTGGGGGCTACAAAACAATAGGGCAACAAATTTCTATGCACCAGTGGTCAACCATCAGCAATATCCCTCTGAGGGAAAATGAAGTCATGAGCTGGGCTTGCAGAGTCTAAGTCCCCTAAAGTTGTGGTAACTGAAGTCCCTGAAACTTGGCCCCTGTCTCTGCCAGAGCGCTGACTGGCCTCTCCCTCCACAGCTGCTGCAGTTTGAACCCAAGCAGCGCCTGGGTGCCGGAGAGGGTGGTGCCAGACAACTCAAGTCCCACCCCTTTTTCAGTTCGATCCAGTGGAGCAGACTGGCGGGGTAACAGGAGCATTGGTGGGGCTGTGGAAGCAGCTGGCCTGCACTCCATCTCCTGCCTCGCCTGTCGTCCCTCTCAGCGATGGGCTTTAGAACATAGGGAAGTTGTCTTTCCTGATCAGCCTGGCCTTGGGCCTCCAAAGCAATGATCTCCACTGTCCCTGGAGAAGTTCCCAAAACTGCAGAGAGGAGGCTGCATGGTGAGGCCCACACCTTAAAGCCGCTTGAGCCTTTTACAACATCCACAGACATCTGTTGGGCACATTCCTTGTGCTTGATGCCAGCCCGTCAAAGGGCGCCTCTGCTGCTCTGCTCAGAGTGACTGACCACTTGCAGCAACCCAAGTTTGGTGCCTCGCTTGGGACACCAAGAGATGTAGGATACTGATCTTAAACCTGGACTGTGCTGGCTGGTCACTGTAGTCTGTAACTCCCAGAGGGGCAGGAAGAGGGTGGGGGAGGCAGGGAAGATCTGTGGCGTGGGAAGATTAGGGACAGGATGATCCGCTCCCTGTTTCTGGTCATATTTCTGTTTTGATTCAGACTTGAGAACAAAAAAGAGGGAGGTTTTAAGAAGTAAGGTATAAAGGAGCCATGATGGAAGGGGAGGCCCGCGCTCTGCCCCAGCTGGCCCCGAGGGGCTGAAGCAACCCAGCCAGGTCATGCCCCTTCCCTTCTCAGGCCTCGGCTGTTTATCATTCTGAACTTTAATCATGAGGTTCTGCTCAATTTACTATCTTCTCTCACTCCCATTTGGAGAAACCACAAAACATGAGCAGATTATCCACATGAATTCAGCCAAACCTAAGATGTTTCTGGTCTCTGAAGAACTGTGTTCAGTGGGCTCCTCAAAATCAGCCCCTCCTCCGGTTTGAGGGCTTCCCCTATTATTGGGGTACACTACACTCCTTGTCCCAGAGCTAAAGTCCTACTAGACCTCTGTCCCTAGCTCCCAGCGGCACTTCTGACACTGCTCATCAGTTGGGGAATCTAGCCAGATACTTGTGTCCTGAGACTATGGCTCCTCTGACTCTTCTACTTCTCAGGTTGAGGAAAAGCAGTCTTTCTTGTGCCCCATAGCCCACATCCTGAATGGCCAGAGGTTTGCCCATCTTCTAATAAAGCCTGCTCTTCTTTTGGTGTCCCTGTATCATTAATGCAGCAAAAGTGGCCTGGAGGAAGGAGCAGATTGTAAGTCTCCACTAGAGATTCAAGAGAGGGTGCTAGGAGGCTGCCTAAGCCTCCTAGCGTGGGAAATACTGACTGGGCTTTTCAGGAAAAAGCAAAGGCTTTAAAGAAAGTCTGATGGCGTCTGAGGGAACTCCATGGAACTGGTTGTCTGTAAGCTTAACCCACGGGACCTAGAGCCTACCTGCTACAAATGTATGTTCCTTCTGCATTCACCTATCAGACCAGACTACTTCCAAGCACAGCTTCATCAAATGTGAGGGACTTCTGGCTCTCATCCAGTCACACTGCACATCTGGTACTCTGTTGGGCCTTCAGCTTAGAATCCTGTGGTCCCAGCCCTGATTAAGATTGACCATTCAGGAAAATGGAGATAATGGCTATTTTATAGTTTACTAGAATAACTAAAGCTTATGTCACCGAGTCCTAGATCTGACAGATTAAAGTTCTTTTTATTAAATCCACCTACCAGCTCCTACTTGAGAAAGTAGGAACTTTTTTCCTTTTTTTGTTGGTTGTGGGGTCTGAACTCTGGGCCTAGGGCCTGTCCCTCAGCTCTTCAGCTCAAGGTTAGCACTCTACCACTTGAGCCACAGCGCCACTTCCGGCTTTTTTTTTCCTGCTTATGTGGTGCTGAGGAATCGAACCCAGGGCCTCATGTATGCAAGGCAAGCACTCTACCACTGAGCCACCTTCCCAGCCCCAGAACCTTTTTTCTGAGAAAGGCCTCCAACCTAAAGGATGGCCTTGCTGTAAACAAGATCAGCAGAGGACTTAATTGTGGAAAGAACAGGCACAATTTATGAAGCCGAGTCCACTTTGCCTGTTACTTGAAGTATAGACTAGGCACAAACTCTGTCCACTGGTCCTCACAGACCACTGACCTTAAGCATCTTGCTAATCAATCCAAGTAAAAATTAAGATGCCCTCGCCATTCTCCAATCCATCCCAGATCCCTTGCTTCACAAGGCAGATCTACAATTTCTAGAATTTGTCTCACCAAGGCCACAGGGTTCCCTGGAAGGAAGGTGGGACACTAACACATCAATGTGCTTCCTTGGCTGGCAGTCAAGGTTCTACCTTTTGTCAAATTAGGACAGTTAACTTACACTGTAAGTACGGGATATAACTGGAGATGTGGCTGAAGAGTGGTAAGTGTGAGGCCATAAGTTCAAACTTCAATATGTATATATATATATATATATAAAGACAGGGATGGAGGATATGTCTTAGTGGTAGAAGGGAGGTTCTGGGTTCAATCACTCAAACCACCAAATTTTTTAAAAAAATATGAAACATCACAGGTAACAGTAAGTATTAAGTGATTTTCAATGCTAATGACATCCTTGGTATACTCATGCTGTTGTACCTCAGTAACCAAAAGAAGCATAGATGCAGGAACCCTGTTTGTAAGATCTGCCCTTTAATTTTCATTCAAAATCAGTTTAAATATCTTCGTTACAAGTTCTGAATGGTGAAGAGTAGCAGATGCTGCAGGCACTCAATACTGACCCATTTCCCACCCACCCCGCCCCCCACTGCCTTGCTTCTTGGCTCACGATAAAAAAGGGCACCCTGTACTAACCAGTGGCCCCATGCTGCTTGTCAGCAGTCTCAGGCCTTGGTGAGGTTGGATAGGAGCCATCAAGTCCCAGGAGCTTTCATGACACGTTACCGTAAGGAATTCCAATGGTTGTGCCAAGCCCAAAGCGTCTTAGAGAAGACCGCCATTACATCACATCACTATGTACTAACATTTTAAGGCTGGTTTCCACCATAGTCTATCCCCTAGGTCTGTGACCTGAAGAGGAAGCACCAAGGCCCCAATCCCTACAGGTCACAGCCTAAGAATAAGAGAACCGCCTCCTCAATCCACATGCCTACACAAACCTGAATGTTAAAGCCCATGTCAATCTAAGCCAGAGGGTGCCTCCTCTTCTGCCAGGTTCTGCCCCACTGCCCTGGTGTGCTACAGTGTGCTCTATATGAGAACAATGTGCTAGAATGGGTCCTAGCAGCCTGGAAAGTGTCGAAAAGGACTGGTACAACCACAGCTGTGTGTATGCCCCACTGAGTCTTCCTGGTGTGAGCCTATGACAGAGTGTAAGGGCAGGCCTGGGGTCTACTCCCATCTATGATTACACGGGGCCTCTGGGCCCTCTCCCCCCGACCTGGCCAGTGCGTCCTGGAAGAGGTAGAAGAGGCGTCCTGTAGTCACTGACAGCTGAGAGTAATGAAGCAAAAGCAGCACCTCTTTGCCTGTGTCCAATACCTCCACACAGGTGGCATCAAATGACAATGCACAGCCAGGACAGAGGCTGCTTTAAGCTTGGGAGACACAGCATCCCCTTAGGCATCTCTGGAGAACAGACTTTCCAAAGATAAAAAACTTAATCACATGGTCCCCGGTGGTTTCCCTATATAGTACACTGGCACTGGGGAGAATAAAAATTGTCTTTGCTGAGGGCTGGACAAAAGGCAGGAATATTAATGAACGAACATCCATTAAGGCGCTCTCTCTCTCTCTTTCTCTCAAGCCTAATGACGTGAAGGCAAAGAGCATGGAGAGGGAGAAAGCCTGGCAGGAACACCAAGACAAGACCTGTGACTGCTGGTTACATAGTGCCCTGGGTTCCTTGCTTGAGGCCAACAGCATGTGCCTTGCCTGTCACCAGGCTAACCTGGGACTCAGGAGGGGATAGGGAGAAGACGGATTTTTCAGTTCCTGCATGATCATATGATAGGGCATGTGGCTTCCTCCTAAAGGTCCAGGAGGAGAACTCTGGGATCTTCAACTGCTGCCTTGATTTTACGGAGGAAAGTCACAGCCTCTCTGCCATCAATCAGCCGGTGATCATAGGTCAGAGCCACGTACATCATGGGCCGCACCTCCACCTGCACAGAGAAGAGTCCATAGGTTTGTCACAGCAGTTCAGTTCTGCTGAAGGAGAGATGACTCTCAGACCAAAGAAAGTCCTAGTTCAAAAGCCTGTTCTGTTAATGCCATCACTGGACAACTTACCATATTTTCAAAGACCAAGTTTTATTTTACTTTAGTGCAAAGTTCCCTCACACAGGAAAATAAAGCTTAAGAAAATGTTTCCACACAACTACCTTAAGTAAAACTATATTCTACCCTCCAACTTGTCTGTTGGTTACAGAAAAGGCTTTCTCTTCAGTTCTGGCTGCCTACGGTAGTTACTTTGGAATTACAATTTATTATTATTTTGCAGTGCTAGGGTTTCAAGACAACACCTTGCATATGTTAAGTAAGCATTTTACAATAATCCACACCCCAGTCTTAGAGCTACAATCTAAAGAAAAAAAATGTCTAACCTGGGCCTAAAAATTCCATGATACTATAGAGATTTGGATGTATGACCATTTTCCAGGAACATCTATGGTTTTTGGACACAAAGGTGTTTGTGATCCAAACTGTTTTTTTTTTGTTTGTTTGTTTTGTTTTGTCAGTTGTGGGGCTTGAACTCTGGGCTTGGGCGCTGTCCTTACGCTCTTCAGCTCAAGGCCAGAGCTCTACCACTTGAGCCATAGCACCACTTCCAGTTTTCTAGTGGTTTACTGGAGATAAGAGTCTCATGGACTTTCTTGTCCAGGCTGGCTTTGAACCGCGATCCTCAGATTTCAGCTTCCTGAGTACCTAGGATTACAGGCGTGAGCCACCGGTGCCGGGCCCCAAACAGGTTTTAAACCCTGGAATCTCAGAGAGCCTTTTGCTACTAATGAAGCTTCCAAGAACAAGCTCCACTCCCTTTGATTTAATTCCCCAAACTCTCTGAAAACTTCTGTGTTATGCCACAGTGGCAGGACTTGAACTCAGGGCCTCTATTTTCCACTCTCCATTTTCCCTAGCAGCTGATGCACTACCATTTGAACCATGCCTCCAATTCAGTATTTTGCTGGTCAGTAGAAAATGAGGTTTCACAGACTTTTCTGGCCAGGCTGGCTTTGAACTGCTCTCCTTAGACTGGAGGATACTACTATAAGGTAGTAGTGACAATTACAGGGATGAGCCACAGGTGCCTGACTGAACTCTCAGAAATTTTCTATGCCCCATCATATAACCCTACAGGTTGTAGTTGCCATGCGTTCTTGCCCTGTTTCCAGAGGACAAGGACATGGCTCCAAATCCCTTAAGCACCTAAACAATAAAGTTTCAACAAGCCCCAGATAAAGGGGGAAGCCTCCTTAGGTCACTGTTCTCAAACAAGCATCAGAATTCTACCTTTATAGGTCTGGGATGGGCTCTTTTAAGAATTTGCATTTCTAACAAGTTCCTAGATGATGTTCATCACAGACCAGAATTTTCCTTAGCCATTAAGAAAGGAAGCTGAACCTGAAATAAATCTCTATGAAGCTATTAGGACCTCAGAAGTGATGGTTCTTACCTTGCCTCCCACAGCCACTGGCCTATCAAAGATGCCATGCATGCCTAGAATGGCAGATTGAGGGGGGTTGATAATGGGTGTTCCAAAGAGTGAGCCAAAAACACCTCCATTGCTAATGGTAAAAGTACCACCATCCATATCTTCAATGGCAAGTTCATTCTTTCGAGCCTAAAAACAAATTGCATAATTGAAACATTAAGCCAATCCAAGTTCCTTTACTCATGAGACCAGGATCTAGCTTCTACATGAGAGTTGTTCAGCTAAGGTGACTGTGAACAGTACACTAGAGAAGACATAATTCCTAAGTTACTGTTTACTTCCCCTGACAGGTCTTGTCTGAAGAAACTTCAGGTTTCTGAGCCTACTAGGCTCGCCCACACGCCTATCTTACTCAGATCCTAATGCACTCCTGAAGAAAACCAAGTGAGGCTCCTGCCCCTTGAGCAATGTTAGCTGACAAGTCCTCTTCTCTGTCCTACCCAACAGCTCAGACACATACTTCTGTATAACTTACCTTCTCTCCC